TAATTCAAAATAAATATTTATAAATATTTATCCAATAACTTACTAATATTATATGCTGTCTGGGTTAATACTTTTAATCTTAACAGTATTTTGCGTAAGTATTTTATCACTGGACGAAGTATTACATATTAATATTTAAGTATTGAAATCAATCATAAGGTAGGATTTGTAACATTAAATATTGAAATACTTGAGTACTAAAAGCTGTATTTGAATCACAGAATATTACTAAATACTGTACTTTTAATACTGAAAATAAGTAATTAATCAATGATTCTTAGTATGATATTTCTATAAGGGTACACGGACTATTACTCCATGCATTCTGTTTGGGCTCAATGCCGCGAGATGAAAATTTTTCATAACGAGGGGAAAATGTTTAACCCATAAGCTTGACGTCCCGTCAATTCCTCAAATTGTTTTCCAGTCTTCCAACAATTTTTAGGCGACTTGTAATTTTGCCTAAGACCAACGAAAACCAAAACGGTTAGTATAAATTAATTATACGGTAAATGGCAAATATTAATTAAAATAATAATTTATTACTCTAAATAAGAATCCATTTATATGATATTTATAGGTACCTGCTCTCTATCATGCCGTGTTTTTGCATATTTCAGCCAAGACGAGATGAAATTTTGCACTTCTTTGTCCATCAATATCGAAAAATGTTTTCGAGTAGCATCTGCATCAAATTAAAAAATTCATCGGTAATTAAAAATTAAATTGATGCATACATCCTTTTATCTTGGAATATGTCGGAGTAGGAAGCCTCACTTTTAATGATATCAATTAATAATAATGAGTTTATTGCGAAATTTCCTTTCTGGCCTTTCCAGGAAAACTTCATTGCCAACTTGTTGGTTATTATTTTTTGTAGACTGCGCTTTATTTGCTCTTGAGGTGAATCTCCTCCCAACAAGTAAAAAAACGTTTCCTGAAACACATAATTTTTATTGTTATAACTTTGGTAACTTTTGTCTAGGTATTTTTGTCTAGGTTTTTGTCTAGGTATAGCTTCCGGAATGGAGCCGTGTCTTGAATCAGCGATATGCCGACGTTTCGCAAACGTTGCAGTTTGCATCATCAGGGCTGAGAACTCTGATACTGAGCTCCCTTGGGTAAAGGTTGTCCTTATATGCCCCTCTCCCCCCCTTGTATAGATGGTGTTAGGGAGTAGGGGACGAGGCTTGAATCCAGCGTATCAGCCAATCAGCGTATTTTAATTGGTCAGCTGGTCAATTAAAAAACCGGGAGGGCAGTATGCCAAATAGAGTTTACTTGCATACCTTTGTCTCGGTTGAGGTT